CGGCGGGGAATACATGAATCAACGGTTCCAAGATTATTTTCGGGTCCATGGATTACTTCATGAGACTTCATGCCCCCAAACTCCACAGCAGAATGACATTGCAGAAAGGAAGAACCGACACATACTCGAAACTGCCCGCGCCTTGTTACTTGGAGCACATGTACCTAACCGACATTGGGCTGATGCTGTTGCTACCGCCGTGCACCTCCTTAACCGAATGCCCTCATGGGTCTTGCAGTTTAAAACACCATTACAAGCTCTTTCATCTCATATCTCATTGCCCTCTGTTTTGATGATTCCACCTCGAGTTTTTGGCTGTGTGGCATTCGTGCATCTACATCCAAATCAACGTACAAAACTGGATCCACGGGCAGCTCGATGTATATTCTTGGGGTATGCGCTACACCAGAAAGGGTACCGATGTTATGACCCAGTCACCCACCGTACCTATGTTACCATGGATGTCACCTTTCTGGAATCTGAAACCTTCTACTCTCGACCTACAACCAATTCTTCTCTTCAGGGGGAGAGTCAGAGTGAAGAACAGAACTGGTTTTTACCCGACTGGCCAAATACGAGTGCTTCAACAGAAATGGTGGTCCATGAAGCAACCAGTAAGGCACCTACAGAGACTACACCAGAAGTATCTACAAAAGCCTCAACGTCGGCATCACCTCTACCAGCAGGAGAAGTAGAGACCCCAACCTCGCTAGTACTGGAAAGCCCACCTCTTGAGGATATCCCGGAAGCACGTGAAAGCATCCCTGAGGTAACCTCCCCTACCACTCCTTCAAGCTCTAACGATACTTTGRCTGGCTACACCTTACCTTTCAGGCATAATCGTGGCAAACCGCCAAACAGATATTCTCTAGATGTTGAGGATAGGAGGACAAAGTATCAAATTCCCAACTATGTATCAACGAAGAGACTCACCAAACCTCTAAAATCATTTGTGCAAGAATTATCCTCTAATCATATTCCCACCAGTGTCAAAGAAGCTTTGACAAACCCAAAATGGACTCAAGCCATACAAGAAGAGATGGAGGCACTACTGAAGAACAAGACATGGACTCTAGTCACCCT